ATAAATGACAATAAATTGATGTGTAAAAGATCACGGGTGTGTGGATACAATTCAAGTTAAGGGATTGGTGTTGACGTGATGTCGGGTGGTGCGACAATCATGAGTACTTCTACGAGTTGACGGGTGGTCAACAGTTGACAAAAAACCCCCGATTTTAGGGGCATCACATTTCTTGCTGTAAATCGATAGTTGGATCCAACATAGCTTTCTCTATGCTTTACAAAAGTGCCAAGAATTGAACAAACATAGACATGGAAACTGGTCCTGGACCACTGGGTGATCAATGGAACCCCACTTTTCTTTCTAGAGATGATCACCCTAAAGTCATAGCGTGAGTAGAGTAAGTGAAGACGATGATGGCTTTCGAGCATATCCTAATCCTTACAATATGCCTGCTCTCAATTGTAGATGACTCACCACATATTTCTAAAAATCCACTTATAAATAATGATTCTTATTTAAATTTATGGTACATAATTGACGCCGTAAGAAAATAGAGAAAATGTGGCGTTTGGAAAAAACAAGCTAAACTCCAAAAAACTAAAAAACGCTAGTGAGATATGAATCCAACATTTAATATAAAAATCAAGACATTTGAGCGACAAAAATTGTACACCGGTGCTCCTTTCATCGCATGCCGAAATTTGTTGACTGGTTGGCGAACTCACTTGTGACAAAATCAGGTTTTCCTAAAGCGGCAAGTGTGAGAAAAATCTCGCAACCTCTACTCTAATCAAAAGACTATAGGCCACTATCAAAGATTTTAGGTCGTCAAATTATGATGTGAGTTTTGTCTTTAGAAGCACCAATTATGTAGGGCAATTAGACCAGGCCGAGTTAGAAAAGCTTTGATGATGCAAGGTTCATATATAAGGAAAGGAAAGGGGGCAGCCTTTTGCCCGATCATTCGATTTGCTCTAACAAACAGGTATGATTTTGTAATCAAAGCAATTTCGTCACTTTCACGTACCCATTAAATAGCTATCTTTTCAAGGGTTCCTTGGAAACCAATTTACTTTACGTAAATTGACTGAACATAATAAAAACCTTCCACTGACAATTGATCATATTTTTCACAGGACTTTTCTTACTCATATTAACATTTTCACTTTCATATCGGAAAAGATCCCAAGTCCATGTTTTTCTAGTGCAACTGCAGGGGAGTTTATTTTTTTCTCTTACGCGGGACCTATTTAAAACAAAGGGCCACTAGTTCAATCTTTCCTGTGTACACAAAGTACAGTGTAGGGCATCTAATAGGCCAGTGTCCTATCACCCTTGGCTCTTCCATTGGGCTTGGTTCATGATTTGTAACAAAACATACCATCTACCACCTGCTTTTGTGTGCAACACATAAATAGGCAACTTGGTACATGATTGTTGAATGGGATTTCCAACCAAACCAAGCAAACACTGAAAGTAATTTTTTTTTCCCCTCATCATCTCTTGTGGTCCATGTGGGCATCACTGGTCCATCATGTGATGGTGATTAATGCATGCATCAGCTAATTGCTTATGCTGGAATACCATGCAACATTATTGAGGAAATGAAAGCTTACCATTGGATTCGGATGTTAATATGTATCTCTGAGTCTTAATACTTGAAATTTAGAACTGCTAAAATTCAAAATAGCTTAAGTTGTATATACATTTTAAAGATCAAGTTATAATAGTAATTAATCATGAAATATTGGGATCGATCATGAATAGTTGTAACTTATCATTTAAAAGTGTAACTTGACTTTCAACAATAGTGTTTTTTGATACATAATCAAGAAAGTTTTTTATATCATAATTACTAAAAAGAAAAAGACAAAATTGTTATGGTTATGTGAATGTATAGAAAAACCTGCTTTGACTTCGGATGCCTTATTAATGAGTAAAGCCGCAAGCACGATATTGAAGAGTTAAAAGTAATATGATATAGTATTGTTGCATAGGATATATCTGATTCTTAGTGCTCTATAAACTTTGCTGCTGCCATATTGACTTAGGGTTTCATGGAAAGTAATAAGGAGATGCTTGCGAAATCATCCTATCAATATGGTATAAATCACTTTTTTTCTGAAAGGTTCAAACACTCTCAGCTGAATGAGAGGCTTTATCAGATTTGGCAACTCTTCAGTAGTTGTCTGATTTAGTTTTTGGTTGCTAAACTGACAGAATTTTTGGGAAAGTATTAATTCAAGGCTATTACTTCCTCTGAAATTCTGCTAGATCACTACAAGAAATATTGGAAAATCTGGCATTTCATTGCCGGAGTTTGGTGTAAACGCTACTAACACCCGCGTTTGTGTTTAAATGCCAAAAAATTTTAATAAAAAATAAGAAAAATCTTTTTTTTTTGGCATTTAATTTCCGGCGTTTACGTTAAACGCCACTAGCAATTGTTAATTTAAAATAATAAAAAGCTTTTTTTTTCTCTCCCCAACATACACCTAAATCGTTTTCCCCAATTTATTCGTGCCTCTCTCTCTCCATCCGACTCCTCACCCCGTCAATCTCTCCGTCGACTCCTCTCCCCGTCGATCTTTCCGTCGACTCCTCTCTGTCCCTCTCTCAGACGCTGGGTGCACTTCCAGTGTGATTGATTGGCTACATACATTTATGATTTGCTAGCTAGGGATTCATGACTCTCCTTCGCCGTGGATCTCTCTCCAGCGGTGATCGTATGAAGTCCTGCAATTGCTTTGCAGCTCCGTTTCCTGCTCTTTTGCGGAATCAAGTACTTAATCGAAGCCGAATTCAAGTGAATGCAAGCGAAGTACTTTCTGTAAAATTCGTTCGGTTCTAATTTTTGCTGAATACAAAAAAAAAAAAACAATCAGGTGAGAAATCGATTTCATTTTGTTATTTTTAATATTTTATCAGCTTGAATTTATCATTAGGACATTTTATACATCAATACATGTATGCATTATGTGACTACTTTCCTATTCGTTTTTTGCCGAGATGTCACCATTTGTTTATATTTCTAGAAGACCGAATTAGATTCTATTGATGACAATTTGGACAGTGAATAATATTCACTTGCTGAACCAGGATTTAATCATATTTGAATGTGCTAAGTTATGGGTTTCCTTTGAAGTGTAATTAAGAAAGAAAGTGCTAAGTTATGGGTTTCGACTCACAACTTCTGCCAAAGTAAATTGCTAGGTTGTTAGTTTTCTGTCAGTATTCAGGGGAACACTTTGTGAATGTAGAAGTTTCTGATCAGAGTTGATCACTGCCAATGTTTTTGTTGTTGTTCATTTCATTATCTTGGCAGTTAAAGTTTTGTTGTGATAGTTATAAAACCTGGCGTGGTTTAGTGTAAATCCTGCTCATAAGTTGCTCTTTCCATGGAAATAAAACAAGTTGATCAAAGATGTTCCAAACCATGCAAACAAAGTTTTTTTTTGTGTTCAATTATTTTGGTATCTTAAAACCGCATATGTTTGATGATTCAGATTTGCAAGCATATCATATTGGAATACATTTATGGATAAGAGTTGGATACATTTACATAGACCGGATCCATTGTACGAAAAAGGAGTTAAGAATTTTATCAAGTTTGCATGTGAAAATAAACCACATGCACCGGAACTCACGTGCCCATGCAAAAAATGTCGTAATGTTAGACTGGTAAAAGTGAAACTTTTGGAAGAGCATTTGATTGTAAATGGGTTTCTTGAGAGTTACACTCCTTGGATTTTTCATGGGGAAAGTTCATTTGCTTTGGTTTCTAGAGATAATGAATCAAATGACTCTAGTTTGGGAGATGAAATTCAAGAAATGTTGCATGATGCATTTGGGATTCCTCCTCCAAGTCCAGTTTGTGGAATGAGTAGTGACGAACCTGAAAGGGATAATAGAGAAGGGCCAGATCAGGCGACAGAAAAGTTTTTCAAACTATTGAGTGAAGCTGAACGAAAGTTATCTCCGGGATGTACCAAGTTTTCGACACTGTCGTCTGTCGTTCAATTGATGCACATCAAGTGTCTTAATGGATGGAGCGACAAGTCATTCACAATGTTACTTCAAGTACTAAAGGATATGTTACCTGAGGGTAACACGTTGCCCACTTCATTTTATGCAACTAGGCAGTTGATTAAAGAGTTAGGTCTAAATTGCATTAAGGTACATGCATGTTCCAATGATTGCATGTTGTATTGGAAGGAGACAACTACTATGAATAACTGTCAGAAATGTCAAACATCTAGATATAAACAAATTGATGGTCAAGAAGATGAAACAAATATTGGAGGGTAAAAAATTCCGCAAAAAGTTGTAAGGTATTTCCTTTTAATATCGAGACTTCAGAGATTGTTTATGTCATCAAAAACAGCATCATTGATGAAATGGCATGCAACAGACCGAACAAATGATGGGGTACCAAGACATCCAGCTGATTCTCTTGCCTGGAAAACTCTTGACCAGTTGTACCCCGATTTTGCTAGTGATGCACGTAATGTTAGACTTGGATTAGTGTTTGATGGGTTCAATCCATATAGGACAATGAGTATTTCTCATAGCACATGGCTTGTTATTTTAATGCCATACAACTTGCCGCCATGGTTGTGTATGAAACAACCTTATATGATGTTAACACTGATTATTGATGGCCCTTGTGCTCCCGGGAATGACATTGATGTATACTTGCGCCTTATAGTGGATGAATTGAGGGAGTTGTGAGAGGATGAATTTTTTAAGGTTGCATATTCAAAGAAAGATGGTCGACCAGTTAATGATGTTGTTGCACAAGCGTTGGTATGTAAATATTGGCAAGAAGATGTTCACTATTTATCCATTCTTATTTCGCCTATGTCTTATATTTGTTTCAAATTATTTTTTGCTGCAGTCAGACATGGATGAACTTATGTCACAAATGCCAGTCTTCTATGTAATCAGTAGATGAAGTTTTCACTCAAGTCATGGGACCGGAGTGACCTGGACATGTTAGAACATATGGTTTTGGACCATCTCTGAGAGATGTGTTTGGACATAAAAAATCAGAAGAAATGCAAGCAATGCAATCCCAACTAGATGAGCAATTTAGTAGACATAAGGCAGAGATGGAGGCTCAGCAGGCACAAATGGAGAAGCAAATGAGTCAGATGGAAGCTAAGTTTGAGGCTCAACAAAGACAATTTGAGGTTTTTCTCGTTCAAATGCGTGCAATGGGTATGCCTATTCCTGAACCAGCTCGCAAAAACACAAATCCACTTCCGGTTGAAAAGGTAATAAAAACTTCAGCGACTTATATTTTGAGTTAGAATAGTTATTGTATTATCGTATTATTTTTCTTCATGAATATTAAGTATTTACAATCTTAAAAGGTACCTGATGCATCTAGTACTCACAATATAAACTCCCATCGATCATCAATGAGGAGTGAGTCAAGAAGTCCGGCAGTGTGAGACACAGAGTTTCGCGGTCATTCTAGAGCATCTTCATTTGGTCAGGTGAGTCAATGAATGGGATAGTAGCTCAAATATTACATGAGTTTGTTGACTGGTATTGATCTTGTTGCAATTACTTTCGTTCTGACCATAGCACCTGTACTGAGACTCATGGCTGTCCATATTCTGCCAGTCCATATTCTGAGTTTTGGCAATTACTGTTTGACTCATGTGGTTTGGCATATCTGTGGGACATCATATTACCTTATTATTGCTTGATTTTTGATCTGAGTCAGTCGGTTGTGCTTCATATTTTGCATGCTGTATTATGTTGTATTATTGTTTTATGTGAAATTCATGTGTTAATTTATATTAAATGTAGGTTCATCAACAAAAGAAAGCGAAATTGCAGCGTGCTAATAACCGTGCAGCGAAATTCCCGCCCAAGTGACTCTCTCTCTTCTATGCCATGCAACGAAATTCTCCCAATGATGGACGTGGTATTGACTGAAACAAAACAAACACCATCTTGACCATGAAACAATGACATTACATATCAGTTTAGCTGAACTGAAACAGAGGAGGGTTTGAACTTTGAATAGTCATTACCCAACAAAATTCAAGAGAACTTTTGCACAGTGTAAAAGCTCCAAAATGGTGTACAGAGTACTAAAAGTAGCACAGAATCTGAAATTGGTACCTTTCTCTTGCCACTTTCTGTTGGGTATTTCTCTGCTTCAGAGCTGTGCCTTTTTTTCTCTGACGAGGGTTTTCATCGTAGAGTTTGAATGAGCATTTATGATACTGAAATCAAAGTTTATGCTTAATTAACAGCTTCTGGTTAACTCTTTGATCACTTTTTGGAGTTGGGTCAGTTCTGAAGCTTCAATTTATTGTGTTATTTGTTTTGTTCAGACACTGCTGTAAGGGAGGGGTATCTGGTTCTGGCTACTTCTGTTTTATGGCTGAATAGTAAAAGGGTTGACTGATGGAGGAGTAGTCTTCACAAAGTTTTGATTATAAAATGACCTGGGTTTTATTATTAAAAAAAAATATATTAATTATCAGTACTGGTGTTTGGAAAAAAATAATTACTGGCGTTTAAATAAACGCCGTAAAATAACTCCAGTCACCGAAATTTTAAAAAGAAGTCGTCGATTAAATAAATGCCGCTTAGGTGGGTGGCAAAAGTCATTTTAGTTTTTGTGGCGTTTAATTATACGTCGGTATTTAGACGGAGGTTTTATCGACGTTAACAATAAACATCAATAATAACATTTTGTGACATTTATTTATATTTATCGGCGTTTATTAAAGGCCGATAAAAGTTTTTCTCCTTGTAGTGGATTAAGCATCGTGGTTTTTTTTTTTTTTTTGGTTTTTGGTTTTTAGATTGGTGTTTCCTATTGTGAGAACATGATCCATGCATGTTGTTTCTTTGATGAATAGAATTACTTTAAACTTTTGAAAAAAACCATTTTTTTTTCTGCATTCAAGTAAGATCCACTATCTGCGAACATGTTTATGAGAATAATACACGATAGATAATTTGTTACCAGAAGAAATTAAAGAAAAAAATGTATTTGAGTGAGATAAATCATGGTTAATCTTAACAAACCTAAATTCCACAAATTCCTAAATAACTTAATTAAGCCAGCCTAAGGTATGAAGTTTCGATCAGTTTTGAGTAAGAGAATGGTCACGTGTATATCATATCCTGTTTCCGTGAAATTGTTTTTGCTCCAAAGAAAGTAAAAGTTAATTCAAAATTTGATTAGGGGCAATTTGGTCTTTAAATCTCTTATATAAACCCACCTATCCTTCCTCATCTTTTGCTCCCTTTTTTTTCGGTACATTGGAAAAGTATAAATAAACTAACAAAAGCCTCTCACGTAAAAGATACTAGCACTATCATTTCTCAAAAGCTCTCCCATTGAGGTGGGTTGGGAGTTGAGGATCACCAATCCATCATTCTGCTTGACACCCAAATTTGCAAGGTAGTTAGCGCAGAAGTTTCCTTCTCTTCGAGTGTGATGGATGGGGCAGTTGAGCAGGGTGAGCAGCCTCTTGCATTCAGCTATGATCCCTCTCTCCGGGTGAGTTTCTTCCGCTCCTGCTGTGAGTAGTCTATGGGCGTCCAGGGAATCATTTTCCACAATGATATTCATTATCCCCTGGGCCTGAGTAATCTGAAGGCCTTTGTAGATAGCCTAGAGTTCAGCTTGAGCGCTAGAGCAACTGGGAAGTCTTCCATAAAACCCAAGTTGCCAGACTCCTTGTTCATTTCTGACAACTCCTCCAATCACTGCAGGTCCTTGATTCCCTTTGGAGCATCCGTCAACATTCAGCTTTATCCAACCTGCAGGAGGGAAAGACCAACTAATTAGATTCTCGGGGCAATGGTCTTTGCACTCAAGGTTTTCAAGGAAGGCAAAATTAATTTCCTGTGCCAAACGCCCTGCATTTTTGGCAGTGATGCCAGGGGGGTTTGAACTATTTCGAAACACTCCTTCTTCCTATCCTTCCAAATATGCCAGATGATAGATGTAAAAACAATTGGCCATTCAATTCCTTTCCATTTTTCTTTTCTTTTCTTTTCTTTTCTTTTTTTTTTTTTAGTGATTCTTAAGGAGCCAATTATGGAGATCATTATCAAGGGAGTTCAGTGTCCAGTTGTTTCCTACAAGAGCTCTCCAGACTACCAGTGCTTTGGAGCAGTCTCTTAGGATATGTAAAGTAGACTCACAGTGGACTTTACATCTTTCACAAGTAGCATCATTGGTCATGTTTCTAGTTGCTCTGAGGTGATTAGATAAGATTCTATCACTTTGAACAAGCTAGAGGAAAAATTTTAGCCTTTGTGGAATTTTCATTTGCCAAATCCAGTCCCAATTCAAGTTCAACAGTTTATTGCCCTCATTAGATTTAGTAATCCATTTATGTGTAGTACACACAGAGAAATTACCGTTTTTAGAGAGTCCCCAACATGGGACGTCAATCAGATCACTATCAAAGGGGATACTAGTGAGCTGAATATCCGAGATAACATGGGGGGGGGGGGGGGGGGGAAGGAGCATACTTGGGTGATTCAAGTTTCAGTTACCTGAGAGGTCGATGAAGTTTGCCACTGTTGTGTTGGGATCAGTTGTGGTTGGGACCTGCATTCTGTTTGCAATAGAAGTATCTCCACACCACCAATTAGTCCAGAAAGGTATGTTTTGACCATTTCCAATGAGCCATTTAGTTCCTTCCTTAATAAATTGTCTTGTTTTAAGGATAACTCTCCAGATTGTGGACCCATTGGTTTTTTGCTCCCACATGGTGTCTTTGTTCTCCTTGACTTTCCAGCCTAGCTTAGCGAGAGTGGCTAGATTGCTTTCTCTTGACTTTCTGAGGCCTAGGCCTCCTTTTTTCTTAGGTTTACAGACAGTGTCCCACTTTATGAGGTGCACCCTTTTCTTTTTGTCTGTATCCCCCCACAGGAAATTCCTATTGAGTTTTTCAATTTTCTCAATTGTGGGAGCCAGGTGGTCTGCATGGTGTAATTAGGGATGGTGGAGGTGACAGATTTAATCAGCGTTGTTCTCCCTACCATGGAAAGGTTTTTGGCCTTCCATCCACTAACCTTTGCTTAGACTTTTTTAACCAGGTAATTATAGGTATTCTTGTTGGTTCTTTGATGAAGTATTGGGATTCCTAGGTATTTACGTAGGTCTTCAGTTAAAGGCAGACCACTTATTCTGCTAAGGTTCCTAACTCTACTTTTGGGAATGTTTGGTGAAAAAAATACCCTGGATTTAGTCAAACTAACTTTCTGTCCTGAGATAGAACAGAACTCTTCTAAGACTTCCTTAATCATGTCACAGTTCCCTTCAGTAGCCCTGGAGAATAGGATGATATCATCCGCAAAAAAGAGGTGAGTGATTGAAGGACCGTTTTTAAAAGTTTTAAATCCTTTCCAAAGCCTGTCTCCAACTTTTTTTATTAATCAAATTGGCCCAGCTTTTCCATGCAAAGTGTGAAGAGGTAGGGTGACTGTGTGTGAGAGAGTGAGAAAAGACGATAAGTGCAGATGATTTCTACAAGGTCATGTGTGCAATGGTTCCTTTATACTTTGCAATGCTGGTTGCATATGCCTCGGTGAAATGGTGGAAGATATTCACGCCGGAGCAGTGCTCCAGCATCAACCGTTTCGTGGCGATTTTCACTGTTTTGGTGCTGTCCTTCCATTCACTACAACAAAAATTATTTTTTGCGATAATTTTTTTCATCGCTAAAGTAAAAAATATCGTCACCAATTATTTTTTGCGACTTTTTTTTTTGTCGCGTGTTCGTTACAATAGTCTAGTCTCAAAAAGTATTTTTCGACGTAAATTTATTTTCATTGCAAAAACAAAATTTGCGACGAAAAAAAAACTTTGCGAAAATTTGAAAAAACGTTGCTAAAATCTATTCCACCAGTGTAAAAAAATAAAAAAATAATAATTTCATTAATTTTTCGCCGGGTAAAAAAATCGTCGAGAATAATTTTTTACATAAATAAAAATGTAAATAATAATTTAATTAATTTTTCGCGACAAAAAAAAATTGTTGCGAATAATTTTTTCATAAATAAAAATGTAAAAAATAATAATTTAATGGAAAATTTTCAATCACACTCCTTGTAATTTACCATATCTTCACGGACACCCCCTCTAATTTTTGAATCTTCAATGACATCCCCTATCAGATTAAAAATATTAAGTGGAATACAATTTTACTAAATTGCCCATGATATATTTGAGGATAAATTTTATCCACACCCCTTTTAGATAAACATATCTTCAATCAGACCCCCTCTAGATAAGTATATTTTTAATAAGACCCCCTCTGTTTTCTAATTTTTTTTATGTAATTAAATTCAAATAGATTAAAATTCGATTCAAGCTAATTAAAATTTATTTTTTTACAGATTAAAATTTGTGCCAATTAAAAATTATATTTTTTTTAAGTATTAGAATTTGGGTTAATTAAAATTT